CAATTAAGCTAGCCTCATCCAAGCTAGCCTTATCCAAGCTAGCCTCATCCAAGTAGCCTCATCCAAGCTAGCCTTATCCAAGCTAGCCTCATTTGAGTTGGCCTCTCCCACGTTGCAAATGGCAGGTTTCCTCTCTACGCACCCCTCTATGTAAACTTTACGTGTTGCGGAGAGGAACGGAAATGATTCCCCCTAGACTAACGAAAGAATATAGGTGTTAAGGGAAGCCCGTTACGACTAGCATTATCGACAAAGACATCGTATACGAAATCATTAACATATGCTACATCCAAGATCCACATAGCTTCAAAGATCACTCGCTGCATTGTCTACCCGGCAGTAATGGTTTCGCGTGACAGATATCCCGGGAGACCTATTGCTACTACATTATTTGCATGATGTCACCAGCGATGGCGCGCGTAGGTCTACGTGTTACGATTCCCAAATCTGTGATTACACGAACAGAAAGATAAGGTGGCGGTATCACGTCAATGCACGCGTACAGCCCCCGCGCGCGCCTTGGGAGCATTGCGGGAAGATTACTAACCGAGCGACTAAGGGCGAGCTGACATTGCGCTGCTAAGCAAATGCCATGTTCAGCACAGGACTTCTGCATTAGGACTGTATGCGGGTTCGATTCTACTAGGATGAATTCACAAAGACGTTCGATATGCCGCGTCTGTAGATGTTTGCGGCGCGGATGAACTCACTCATGCAGCAACTAAACTGTGCAGTCTTGTAATCTTATATTCATTGATACGCGCTACATTAACTAAAGCAAGTTGAAAGTATTGATAGTAGAAAGATGTAGCGGCATATCTCGTAGTATATAGGCTTCGTAGCGTGGTTGATCAGCGGCCTATTCTCTTGCAGATTACCTAACAAACGATTGTTATCGAGCAATAATACTCTCTTCAACTTGCACTCCAAAAATGTAAAATATACGAATCTGGCGAAATGTTTTCCTGCACATCACACGGGAAACGAGAGTAGAAACGAACGTTCGCGAAAAGGAAAATGCACCTGCTACAGCCTACGGATATTGAGTTGCATTTGGTGCAACGTAAAATACGTAAAATGCGTATGCAGTTTATAGCGCCGTTGGGGTGGCATTAAAATTTCATACGCTATATTGATCATCGCTATAATGATTAATGATGATCCATGCCTTCGTCCACATTAGCACGAACATTACTCGCACTTCCTAGCAAAATATTGTATTTAATTAATTTAAATTTAATGGTTTGGCGCAGAGCTCCACTTCGCTCTATTCCGGTAGAGAGTGGAGATACAGCAGCCGCTGGATCCATACTGCTGCAAGAACGACAGGCAATCAACTAGCATTGGCAATCTCTCACAAGTGCCTGCACGCATTTCGAGCGTAGAAATTCGTGAGCTCTGACCAGTGCACAGGCACATGAAACGTTCCAATAATAAAATAATGGTAAATAAACACGAAAAGAATTTACTACCAAAGTCTTAATGTTTCTCTACTCTCTTTCGTGTGGCCGTTCAAATGCTCCGCTGCAACAAACAAGTATATACACCGTACGCACGCCGCTGTGCACAAACAACAAAAATATAGATTGTGTTGTTGTTGTTGTTCTCTATATTTTTAATGTTATACTATTTTAATCTCTACTATTATTATATTTGGCAGATAACAGCTGTGGATGCATGGGTTGATGCTGATGGATTCTGGCATAATGGAAACCGTGAAAAGGCTGGTTGTATCATCCCATGACGTCATCAGTGACAGTTCCTTATAACCATCAACGCTCATTCCTTCCACACGGCGGAGCATAGCGTGTTGGTGAAATTGACAAATATGAGCTTATAATACAATTAAATTACAAGCACGAAATAATACACGTTGCAAGCGGGCACTTTATTGGTGCTAGAAAGTACAGGTTGACACGCGCGCGTACCACGAGAAATTCATGAGCGAACTGCATCGTATCTTCATCATAGGAGAGAACTATAGTAAAGCTATGCGTATATAGAGAAGCATGATGTGTACAGCGCGTGCATCATATTCACGTCCACATCAACCGGGTGGCATATCAGCCTAATCATTTTGGACCCTCGCTCGAGGCAATTTTTGAGGTTATTTCATCTTTCTTGTCTCTGTTTTGCACGATTGCAATACCGGCCTGGCAAATTCTGATGACATGAGTTCATTTACGATAC